GAAATAGAATTTGGTGTAGGTGTAAAAAAATGACTGATAAATCAAATGCTGTTTTTAATGTGTTTGTGAGCATGCATTAAAAACTGTTTGTGAATTTGTGGTTGTTGCCTTACCACATGGTTTACAAATTCAGATTTATTTTTTTTCTGAAAACCCCCATCTAAGCCGTCCTTCTAGCCCCTCCAACCCTCTTTCCTCCACCCCCATCTCTGTCTTTTGCTGGTGCAGTGGAGAATTTCATTTGGTTTGGAGGCTCAGCTGCTACTATCTCACACACACACACCCCCCTCCACCCTCATTTTTCTATCTCCCATCATTCCATCTTACCATCTCTTTCGTCCATCCATCACTCTCAGCAGCTCAGGGCACAGCAAATCATTAGCCTGCACACCACTCTCCAGTCGGAGAAGAATCTGCAGTGTAGCTTCACTGCAAATTGAAGATAAATATATTGAATTCAGTCAAAATGAAATAGCAAATTAAACATGATCAGATCAAAACATTAACCGCCTCAACTGGACAACGTAGTTAACGACGAACAACATTAGACGCTGGGTAATACAAATACAAGGTTAGAGAAAACGAAGCGTTGTGTGATTGTATTTTTCTGCTCAGGAGAACAGCTTAGCCCGCTATCTATCAGCTAACCACATATTGTTCTGTTCAGGGGTCAGCTAAAGGCTAAAGCAGTTTGCCAAGTTTGAGAAAAGCATGGAGATTTGTTGGCCAACAGCACAAAAGTAGAATAGTTGTGTATTTTTAGATGCCTTGCCTAAGAGAATTTTTAGATGCCTTGATGTCATAGTTGTTTTCTCAGGAGGACCATCACGGTCTGTCTTCACTGGTGGACACAGTGGCGATCTAAGCCTGAGTCGCTCCTTGTGCCCGTGCAGAGGTGTAGGGTTACTTCATAGGACAGTGCCAGGTCTGTTCAAACAGGACTTGAAAAGAAAAGTGACGGTCTTGGCTCGCAGTGAGTTTGTGAACCCACTAATTAAATGTCTATTAAAATTGTGATCGGAATGCTAAAGGTCACACGGATGTTGCTCTGGTAAAGACCACAACATGCTATAATTGCATCGTCATCGCATTCCTTACATTTCCAAACTTTATGAATTCATGTGTGACACAGTTCACTCTCTCGTCAAGAGAATGTGTTAGAGCTAAATATAAAGATAAAACAGAAAATTTAAAAATTGTCCTTATGGTGACCCCTAGAGTTGGAAAATAATATGTAATACAGGGACCAACAGGTTCGCTAGATCTGTCTTATCCGTAGTGTTTTGTGTCAAAAGGGTATGAGGTAAAAGATCAATCTGTTTTCCCAGGTATAAAAATCATAAAATGAAGCTAAGTCCATGTACAGATGCAGTAAAATTAGCCAATTAAACGTGTTGGTGTGGTTTCTGATATTCCTTCCATCGTCAGGCCTTTCTGTGCTGTTGTCTTTGACTTTTTGTGTCTGTACGTAGGCAACTTTCTTCCACCTTCACTCAAACAGCTCAGGTTCAAATAGTTAGCATTGTGTAGATCATACCCCAGCCACAGAGTGCTGGCCCCACGCCTGGGTAAATGGGGAAGGTTGTGTAAGGAAAGGCATCCAGTCCAAAGACTGTGCCAGTATCTTTTATGCAAACAGCCAGCTGTGGGGATCCTTCAAGAGAAGGGGACGGAAGGATGAAGGATTTCTGAAGTTTTTAGTGATGCTCTGTCGGAGATTAACCTGACAGTAGGATATATTCCATTTGGGATGAAACAATTTTATTTCTGATATGATACTGATCTGATAATGATATCAATTTAATTGTTACTGATGCCAATACATTAGTGAAATTTGGAGTATCTGCCCATATCCCTGGCTACGGCGCACAGTAATATTTGACTGATATCGATCCTGAGTACCGGATCGGGCCGTTCCCTTAAACTTTAAGGTCTGACCAGTTCAGTAACAATGAACGGGACTTTCCAGGACATGGAGAGTAGTATAAGTGTTCAACAGATACATTAATAAATTAATTGAATAGATTTATTGGTCAACCCTGCTCTTAGTTAATCTAACAATTAATCACACCACGTCAGCTCATATGCACCGTGCTTCATTCACTATTTTTCTATCCAAATGAGCTCATCATTTACACAATAATGTCATGTTTTATTGAAGATCTTAAACCTGCATTTCAGCAGATACATTATTCATGAAGTGTTTTACTGGTGTTATATATCAAATAAAAATAGGCTAATTCTTCTGCAGACTTTCAGTCACACTGTACTTTGTTGTAAACTGCAGAGTCGGCCCTCGGGGAATAACTGCTTCTTCTGTCCCACTTTTTGGCCTTCACTTTTTAAACTGGAGGACCGCAGTACCTCAGCCTCTTGGAGTTTCTTTGAATATCCCCAGGTTTGAGCTCTCCCTTTACTGTTTTGAGTTACAAGGGCAAACTGGAAGCTAACAGTCAGGTTGTCGTTTGAATCATTGAATGCGCAGTTGAAGTTGTTTTTTTTTTTTGTCACATAAATAACCTCTGTAAACAAAGCTGGAAAACACTTTGTTCATCTGTTGTCGACAGGGAACGGGGGGAACGTGGCGGAGTTTGCGCCTCGCTGTCACAGTGAAAAGGTTGATTGACTGATAGACAGGAGGTCGGAGGAGAGTGAAAACAGCGAGCTGCTCATCCGTCTCTCCTCCAGTCCGGGCTCCATTGTTTTTCCTCCAGTATTTGTTTTCCCTCTTTGTGAAGCCAGAGGAATGTTACACATCCGCAGCATGGTGGAAGATTGTGTGTGTGTTTGTGTGTGTGTGCAAGTGAGTCAGTTCTATGTGCACCAGTATTTGTGCTTGTATATATTTTTTTGTGTCTTTTTGTTAGTGTTTGCTTTGGAGTGAGACAGAAGAGCAAAAAAATAAAAGGCAGCCAATGTCATCTTTTTTGATACACATCTCCTCTCCTCTCATACATATTTTATTTCAAGTGCCACCAGCAACGGATGCAGTATATTAGGCACGTGTTTGTTTTACTTTTATGAAGTAAAATAAAATATTTATCCATTTGAATTGGTAGTCATAAAAAAATATCTTTTGATGTTAGATGACCACACAGACGCGTCTTCACCGTCTTACCCTGTACACCACTGAGCTTCTCCGACACTGAGAGCTGTCTCCGTCTGACTGATGTGTTTTCATACACACCTGCAGCGTGGTTGATACTGTGGGAGGCATCAGAATTACATTCACATATGGCTGCCCGCCTCCTGATTTCTTCTCTCTGCTAAATGTATCTTTACCGTATGTATATAGTGACAAAGATGTGGCAGTGGGATGAAGGCGATGACATCTGAATTATAAACGTAGGCTTGTATCGCTGTATTGGGAGGATGATGTACATGTGTTCACACAGTTCCACAGTGAGACGCAGTTTTTGAAAGGAAAAGACTTGAGTAGGCCTTCAGAGGGGGGGGGGTCCTCGGTTGACGTCGTCCTCAACCTACAGTGTTTCGGGGTTACGTCGCAATCTCCCATACATTTATCGAGAAAGTCTTGTAACTGTGTTACGTCGCCATCTCCCATACATTTATGGAGAAAGTCTTGTTCCAGTATTCCGAGGTACGGCGTTAAAACGTGCTAACTAGTTCGCACGACAGTTACTTAATATGGACTTCCGATAGTCTTGCATTGACTTCCTATCTTTAGATGCAGTTCTTGCAACAACCTGGTTTGTTCATTCTTGCTTCATACCATACATTTATCTCACAGCCCACAGTGACTCACATGTGATGTTAATCTACGCCAAACAGGAACAGAACAACAGTTAACTAAAATTATATATATAAGTTTCATTTCCTGCCTGCTCAGGTCTCCACCTCCTGGGCCACTCATTAACAGAAGGACTATACATTTGATGCAGCTTAGGTTGGTATTTCATATATATGTGTTTATATATCACTGATATATATCATTATATATATATATATCATTAAAGGAAATTAAAACAAAAACAAAGACAGAGTTGGGGTGTGTTTTTATTTAAAGCTGTATTCAATTGTGATCTGTAAA